TTTTAAAGATAATTTGCTAAATTTTTTTAAAATGAGATCTTCTATAATATAATTTTTTTTTGTCTTTCATTTATAAGCCATATTATATTACAATAATGGTGACTAGATTGAAACCACCTTCTAAATAATATTGTCATTCTTGAAATGAGCCCATAATTATAAGAAGTTCTTTTGTGGATCTTGTAGTTAATCTTTTTTTCTAAAAAATATTGAAATAGAAAGCTACCAAAGAGAGCTTATTATATGCTTCTATTTGTGATAATATTGTACTTATAGCAAAGTTTGATGCATCTGTTTCAATAAATAATGCCTTAGAAAATTTGACATGATATAAGATTGGTACAAAAATAAATGATTTCTTCAAGGCCTCAAAAGATGCTTCAATTTCTTCGCTTCAATTTAATTTACCTTTACATGTCAAATGTATAAGAAAAATTACAATTTGAAAAAAAAATTGATAAAAATTTAGTAATAATTGACAAATCTTAAAAAATATTAGATATCTTTAACTATTGTTAAGATCTTTTAATCTATGATAGTTTTGATCTTTTTAGAATCTATCATAAGGCCATTATTTGAAATGATGAATCATAAAAAGTCAACTTGAGTAGTGTAAAATACACACTTTTTTTATCTTGGTATATAATCTTAGAACTTTTAGTTTTTGTAATACATGAAAAATATGGAATTTATATTCTTTTGTATTCTTAGAATAGATGAAGATGTTATTTAAGTAAAAGACAAAAAAATTCATCCAAAAATTCACAAAAGATATCATTTATTAAATATTGAAAAGTAGTTTGTGCATATGTAAGTCCAAAAGATATGACATTATTTTCAAAATATCCATATTTGATTTGAAATATAATTTTTTATTCATCTCTTTCTTTAATGCATACTAGGTTATATGCTCCTTATAGATCTATTTTGATATAGATCTTTGTTTGATTCTATTGATTAAGAAGTCTTGAAATCAAAAGTAGAGGATATTTAATCTTAATATTCATCTTGTTGAATTCTTGATAGTCTATACACATCCATAGAAATTTCTCTTTTTTCTTTACAAATAAGATATGAATGCTTGTTGGAGATTTAAAGTCGCATATGAAATTTTTAACTAAGTTCTTGTTAATATATTCTTTGAATATAGTCAATTTGTTTTGTGATAGGCTATAGATTGGTTTAAATGGTGGTTGAACTCCTTCTTCAAGATCAATGGAACAATCATAGGAACCATATTATCGATGAATATCTTCATTTTCTTTTTCAAAAATATCTTGATAATCTCAATATTGACTATAGGTGTGGTATATATAATAAAAGTTTATCCTTTTTATACAGTATGCATAAAAGCTTTTGTACCTACCAATAAAGATTTAAATGTATTGGACATATGGATTTTTATTTGACTAGCAAAATCTTAGATTAAACTAAAAAAAAAATCATTTTTTTAAGAAATTCAATCTATTTTAATGTTATATTTTTTTAACTATGATAATCCTACTATAATTGGATTAAAAGGAAATAAAATTATATTAAATATTACTAAACTATTATGACTATTAGTTGCTATATTTAAAAGAATAATTTTATGGATGACATCTTTCAAAGACAACAAACAACCATTTGTTACTTCTATATGTATAGGTTTGATTTTTTAATTGAGGATTTTTTTTTTTGATAATATCTTTGTTTATAAAACAAGCTAAGACTCTTGAATCTAACAAGGTTAAGACTTTGTGATTTTTTGGTCCTAAAAAAATTTCTATTGTAAAATAAAGTGAAAGATCTAAAAAAAAGATAGAAACTTTACTAAATATTGTATAAGATTCTAATCACATGGCTTTTATTTTAATTAAAAAAATAATTTTTTAATATATCAACCTCTTTTGCAACCATGCTCCTCACTTTCTGATTGTATTTTTTTTTTGGACAATATTAAGCAATATACTTAAGTTCTCTACAATATAGGCATAACTTTTTTTAATGGCATTGTTGCAATGCACTTAATTTAAGTGTATCAAAGCTATTTGGAGGACAATTAATTTTACTAGTAAGAAAAAAATAATATAATACTAATAAGCTTATAAATATGAATGAAATTTAGAATAAAAGATTGTTAGCTTGAATGAATTATTTAAGCTTTGAGAGTATTATCTTTAAGGATAGATACCCAACTCTATAGTAATTTAAGGTAGATATTAGATAAAGATTGGAAAGAAGGAAGAAGGAAGGAAAATTTTGACATCAAGTGAGATTTTTCTTAGATAGGTGTATATGAGTGGAAGGTGGCCAAATTTTTTAAGTAATAAGATTCAAGACTAGTTTGGATTTTTTTATGCCATTTATTGAATTTTCATCTTTTTGTCTTAAAATTTTGAAAAAAATTAGATTTTGATGTTAGCTTTTCAACAAGCTATTTAATAGAAAAAATAAATAAATAAATAAATAAATAAAATAACTATGATAATAGAAATCTAAGCTAATTTATAGGTGGGGTTTTTGAGGGCAATGGCTATAGCAAGCAATTAACTTTTTTTCAATTCAGCTTTGAATTTCTTTGAAATTTGTTTGTTAATTTTGACATTTTGAAGTTTATAGCTTGACTTAAGCTTAATGAGCTAAACTTTGTCTAAATTGAGTTAGCAATAAGTAATTTATAGATATTTTATTGAATAAATAAATACCACTCAATAATAAATTGCTTTAATGAATCTACTCTTAATATTATCAATAATAAATTATTGATAATATCTTTTAATTTATATTAAAATTAATTGATAAGGGCCTTATCATTTCAATGTATGTTGCAAGCAAGGTTTTGAATTTAAAAATACATATAGTGGCTAAATATGATCCTTGTTATAATGATATAAGTTTGGTTTTTGCTACCCTTTCTCAATCACTTTCTCCAAATTTGACTATGAAAACTTCCATTAATGAATTTAAATCATAGAATAGTTGTGAATCATTTTCTATCAAAGTTGCAAACTAAGAGAGAGCACTTTCAAAGAAAAATGGATCTATAAATCCAACTTGAGTAAATCCATCAAAAAATTAAAAAAGATGCAACCTTAAATAGAGCTTTACTTATTGTAAAAATTCTCAAAACTTTAATCTTATTCTATCAAAATTCTTTAGTATACTTATCCTTGGCTCCTTCATACTTGTAATAGCAAGACTTCTTGGATTTAGTTATGCACTTGATCTATATACTTCTCTCAATTGCACTTGTATAATTCAAAAAAAATAAATATTTACTCAAATCTAATATAATATTGAAATTGGAATGTCTATTGTTAAAGGCAAGAAGACTAGAAAGTCTCGAAATAAGACTAATAATTAAAAAGGCATTGATAAGAGTGAAGAAGGTTTCACTCTTACATCCATATATACTATCTAACTAGAAGCTATGTAGTAACTTTCTATAGAGTATTCAATATTTTTCTAATTTGTAAGACATATGTTTTAACTTGGAAGATAAGTTTCCTATATATATGCTACATTATTAGCTTGTACTACAAGCTACCAATACGTGCAACACATTGGTAACTTGTTAGCAAAGTTTTTAACCAAGCTATTACTTGTAGACACGTATAAAAATGAAACTAAATTTATGAAGCTTTTGAAAAATTTTCCTACAAGATATTATTAAACTGACCTACTTTTATCTATTCATAATATCTAAATAACTATTAAAGTAAATATGTATATCAATAACATAAAAAATAATAGGTTATAACTTATCACTATCCAAATATGTAATTATAATTATCACAAAAATAAAAGATAGTATTAAGGACATGAATCTTAAAGAACTTAAAGATCAATACTCTTGTGTCATTTAAAAAGACTAGACAATGACTTAAAGATGGTATAATATTCAATTAATATGGCTATTTCTATAGATAAAAAGTTTTTAAAGTCTTGAAATAAGACTAAGGACTAGAAAGATATTGATAAGAACGAAAAAAGCTACACTCTTGTCTCCATATATACTATCTAATTAGGAACTACATGGTGATTTATAAGACCTTCAACATGTGTCTAATTTGCAAGACATGTGTCTTAACTTGTAAGATAAGTTTTTTACATATGCGCTACATTGTTAGCTTATATCACAAGCTATGTATGTGTATAACACATGATTAACTTATTGACCAATTTTTTAACCTATTGATCAATTATAAACAAGTATAAAGTCAAATATGAATCTATAGATCTTCTAAGAAGCTTCACTACAAGAAAATATCAAATCTACCTACATTTACCTTCTATCTAACACTTCTTATCTAAATAAACATATATGTTTGTAATAGATAGATATATTATTATAAAACATATATGAATATTCTTGATATTGTAGCATATTTCAAGAGCTTGTATAATATTTTTTCTTTAAATTTTATAATCTAATCTTCTTATTTATGTAATCTTATAAAAAAATAGCTCTTGTAAGATTCCAAATTATATGTTTGTTGTTCAAAGTTTATTTTAAAAGATTTTATTTGTTCTATTTATAAAAAAATAAAAAAAATCAGACAGTTAGAAAAATAAGACTGAAAAATATAAGAATAAAATAGAATAATATTATTGAATTTTTACTAATATAATTATTTAAAAACTTAAAAATCATGTAAGCTCATATTTTAAATAGAGATAAAATTCTATAATATCAAATTTAAAGTTATTTTAATTTTTTTTCCATCTTTGAAGTTCACCAAGTTACCCAAAACCCAAGTTTATTCCATAAATTTAACCTAACTTCATTTTAGAAAACATCAACAATACCAATCCCCGTTTCCAGTTACTCTAATAAAGCACAATTCAAGACGTATCATGGAATGGACGAATGCACGCGAAAACTCATCCACAATTATCTGTCCAGTCTAACAGAACAAGTCCAGGAAAGCGCCACAATATAGTTTCGTAATTGCCAACGTGGAGAAAAGCGCTGAGCTGGCAAGACCCCCGGGTGCTGACGCGGTAGATAGGTCGGAAGAGGGGGTCCAGCTCGGCCTTATCCAGATGCGTCGAGGAGCGGCCTTAGTCGCAGGGATTATGTGCTTCCCTCGATACTTGCCTCGAGCCCTCTGTTTCGAGGACTGTGTCGGGGTTTTGTCGCACTCTTGCTCTCTTTTCAATTTTGTTTTCTCGCCTCTTGTTTACTTTTCCGAGATGGCTGTCGCGAATATGACTATGGCCGTGACGTGCCCGCGCTTTGTCGCTGTTACGGGACGCGCTGAGACCAATTTGAGGTCTAATGGTGTGGCATTGAGCTTGGCAGAGCTTGTTGCAGCTTCTTCGTCGTCGATGAGCTGCACGTTTTCGGAATTCTCGCTTGGGAGCAAGCGTGGTGGTCTGAGTGGCGGAACTATAACCAGGGCGTCTGACTTGGAGAAGGAATTGGAGCAGCAACTTTATACGAGTATTACGGATGAGATGATGGGAAGCGCGTCGAGTGCTGATGAGGGCGTGTTTGGGAACGATGGTATTGCGTCACCTGGGATGGAGGTTTCTGCTGGTAGTGGTGAGGATGATGTTGCAGCTCCGGTTGCGGAGGAACAGCTAGGGTCGAAGGTTTATGTTGGGAACTTGCCGTGGACTTGCGATAGCGCGCAGCTCGCGGAAATTTGCAGTCAACACGGTACTGTAGATGTGGTGGAAGTCATTTATGATAAATTGTCGGGGAGGAGCCGAGGGTTTGCTTTTGTAACCATGGCGAGCCACGACGATGCCCAAGCTTTGATTAATGCGCTTGACGGGAGTGATATGGGAGGGAGGGCCTTGAAGGTTAACTTCCCCCAGTCGCAGAAGGACAAGCCTCGTTTTGAGAAGTCTGAAGCCAGGCCTCCTACTGCCGACCGCAGGCCGAGGGATGACCCGAACAAGTTGTTTGTTGGCAACATTCCCTGGGGATGCGATGAAGCTGCTATGACTTCTCTGTTCTCTCCTTACGGTTCAGTTGTGGATGCTAAGATTGTGTACGACAGGGATTCGGGAAGGTCCCGTGGATTTGGATTCGTGACTATGGAAAAAGTAGGTGATGCACAAACCGCTATGGAGAACCTTGATGGCACTGAGCTTGATGGACGGGAGTTGCGAGTCAACTTTGCTGGAGAAAAGCCCCCATCCAGGTACCGGGGATAACGAATTTCCCATATCTCGTCGTGTTTGGCAGTCATATGGTCGATGGTTAGCACTAGTACGCTGCAATGCTGGTGTTTTTGTCGAATGCACGTAGTTCCGATTTAAGAAATAACTTGTTAGAAACTCATGGGCGGAGTAGCATGAAATTGAGTAGGATTTAGAATAAAATCTTCTAGGATATGTGATTATGAAGTTGTGAAGGCTGGGTAACCATTCAAGCTCACTTGCACAACTTCCTACGCAATGCTACAATGTTGATATTAGACAAAGATTTTCCGGGTGCTGACTATAGGTATTTAGCTGGTTTCCGATACGCCCTCTTATGCAATTTTAGGGAGGTATTACGCACGTTATACAGAAGCCCATTCTGTCGAATTGCCCTGAGTCTAGTAACAGTTATACAGCTCAAGAACATTCATGATCTGAGCTTCAGTGTGTTAATTGATTCTATGGTTGTTAATTCGCCTAGTTTCTCCACTCTACGTGGTACGTACTAGTTTATATTCTCCCATGTATCCTTACTTTCAACTCTGTCCGATTGTTATCAGCAACTATGAGGCGTCCTCTCCCAGGTCAGAGAGACCCAGCGGTGGAGATCGCAAGTCGAGAGATGGTCCGAACAAGCTCTTCGTTGGAAACCTCTCCTGGGGATGCGACGAAACAGCCTTGGAATCTCTATTTTCAGATTACGGGAGGGTTGTTGAAGCCAGAATTGCTTACGATAAGGATTCTGGAAGGTCACGAGGATTCGGATTCGTGACGTTGTCGAATGAAACTGAGGTAAATACTGCAATTGAGAACCTTGATGGCGCGGAATTTGACGCAAGGCAATTGAGAGTGAACTTGGCTGGAGACAAGCCCGCACCCAGGTATTGAGAGTAGGGACTCGGATCTGCAGTTGTACATGCTCTTGCGGCATCGTTCATTTTTGTTTGTAGGGAACAAAGTAAAATTACCTGGCTTTGTTGTATGGATTAGATTAGATATATGAGAAACAGTAGTTTGGGAATTTTTGGGGTTGGAGTCGGCAGACACGAAGAGTTCCTGGATTCTTGGGTGGATACACATGAGCGCAGTTAAGCAACTTCAGATGCAATTTGTCAATTATGTTGCCCCTCGAAGTTTTTCAACTGCTGTGGACTGTTTCAGCTTTGATCAAGTCGCTTTGTCTCATTTTATTCCCTTTCTTTTTTTTTTTCTTTTTTTTTTTTTTTTGTTTCAAAGCTTGTTACTGAAATGAAGAAATCACCTGCCTCAAACTGCATGCAGTTCTATAACTGGGAGTGAGTGTCTGCATTTGTCAAGATGGCGTTGAGCTGAGTAGTTATCAGTGCATCTAAACAATGAAAGTTTGCTGTTTAATTGAAATATGACAATAGCATGAACTATATTGTATGAAATAAAAGGAAAATCAATGTTGAATGGCTGTAGTGTATGATTTTGATATGATAGAATATTTTGCAAATTTATGGTTTAAAAATATCTTGCTCAGAATTTCACCTTCATCACTTATCATATCACATACAATTAAGATCCATACGCTTTATAGGGTTATATTTATTTTTAATATTTTATTTAGGTAATCAGATATTATTTTGTATCCTTTTAAAATGACATTTAAGATATTGACATATTATTGAAAATTTTCATTAGTATAAAGGTTCATTTTAGGAATTCATTCAAAAGCATGTTTTATTAAAAACTTTTTGATGTTGTTAAAGGTACAGTATCTAACTTCAATAAAATAATGGTAGTAGAAAAGAATATTTAAAAAAAATTATGAAATGTAAGGGAAAAAGACACTAAATCAAAGTACAATCACATCATTTTTGTTAAGCTATAGGAGGGCTTGTAATTCTAGGGAAAATAAGATATAAAAAAAGAGTGAATAATACTAAAGATGGCCTTTTCTTATTATAGGCATAAATCTATATTCATTTATTAAAAGTTAAATAATACATATATAATTAAAATTAATTAAAAAAATAATAATATGAAATTCTAAAACAAATAGATATTAGAATAGGTATTGTTAAAAAAAAAAGAAAAAAGAAAAAAAGACAAATTTAAATAGAAATTAGAAGACAAGAGTGGCATTGGCAAGATCGAAAATTATCTCTCTCTTTCTCTCTCTCTCTATCTGTCTATCTATCTATCTATCTATCCACATAGTTAAGAAATGTTATAAAGACCACAAGATTTGCAAGATAAGTGATTGAGATCTATGATACATCCTTGTATATACATATATATATATATATATATATATATAACTTGCAAGGTTGAAGAATTTTAATCTAAACTTTTCAATTATGCTATATGAATCATTAGAAGAAGCTTCAAAAGAAACTATTCTAACAAAGTTTGTTCATTAAACCATCAAAAAATCTTCTAATAAAAATTTGTATCAATTTTTGTAAGCAAAACTATAAAAATAATCATAATCATACTTGATTTTTTAACTTCAAACTATAGGATTTTATAAAATTTCTACAAAAGTCAAAAATAATCCAAGAATTCCTAATTCTAACATTCTTTCTTATTTAAGTATACAATTCAATAAAAATATAAATTAAAATATATATATATATATATATATATATATATATATATATATTTATTTATAGATAAATTTTAAATAGCATCCAAGGTAGCTTATAGATTTTTAAAACCATGAATAATAGCCAATATTAGGATTTAATATCTATTTTTAACTTTAATTTTTATTTATATTTTTAAAATATCTTTAAATTTAATATAAGGGATTTTTCTTAAATTGATTTTATAGCGTTATATACTTTGTGAAATTTATTTTCTATGGAATTATATGCTACATAAAAAATATCTATAACTTGAGCTTATAATCTATTGTTTAGATATTTAAAAAGATAAAAAAAAAAATCAAAAAAAAAAAAAATCAAAAAAAAAATCAAAATAAAGTTGAATAAATTTGTTAGTTTTTGGTAATTTATTACAATGTTGAAAGAATATTGTCAAGGACTTGAATCTCAAAGAAAGAAAATCCTCAATACATTCTTCTATCATTGAAAGGAACTAGAAAGTCATTCAAAAATGATATAATATTGAACTAGAATGGCTATTGCCCAAAAACAAAAAGACTAGAAAGTCTTGAAATAAGACTAAGGACTAGAAAGGCATTGACAAGAATGAAGAAGGCTTCACTCTTGCCTCCTATATAATCTTAACTAGGAGCTATGTGGCAATGTCCTATAGGACCTTCAAAATGTGTTGACTTTGTAAGATACATATCTTAACTTGCAAGACAAGTTTTCTATATGTGTGCCACACAGTTAACTTATTCCACAAGGTATCAACACGTGGTGAACTTATTGACCAAGTTTTTAACCTACCAATCAACTACAAGCACATATAAAATCAAAATAATGTCTATCAAGCTTCTAAGAAGCTTCTCTGAAAGATAATATGAAATTAACCTACTTTTATCTACTTTTATCTATTTCTATCTAATCGTATGGATATTTACTAGAGTTTCTATGTATATCCATGATATTATCTCCTCTTCTAAGAATGAGTTCCATGAGGAGCAGTCTTTATATGTTGAAAAAATTTAAGATGCGGCAAATTATATTTGCCACATACTCTAATCTTTGTTCTCTTAGAAGATAGTTGATAGGTCCTCTCAGCCATTAATAGTATTCCATATCAAGGTAAGAAGACCACCTTGTTATTTGGACATTGTTAAGGCTTTTGTAACTTCTTTCAAATAAAACATTTAAAACACCATCAAGAATTGTTCCTACTTCTAATAAAATCATCAAACATCAGGAGTTTCTTCCAAGGTCGTGATATCAAACATGTTGTATCTCACCATCTATTCGAAGAAGGATATGTTGTTCTTGAGTATCTTCATCTCGATTTTGTCATCTTGAAAGTTGTGACAATTACAATGTCTTGCTTGGTAAGTCCGCAAATGAAAGCTCTTGAGTTGAATCTACTAATTGTTGGTTCTCTACTTCTTTAGCATCACAAATACACAAAAGATACAAAGAAAGATAAATGGTAGAATATTATCTTCTTTTGATCTTGTTTCTTTTATAGCAAAGATTTATTATTCTTCATCTTAGTTTTGATGGATGTCATCGATGAAAAGCTTCAACTCTCTTTGCTAGCTCCTATATGTGTTTACTAATATCATATCCACACCAATGAATAAGATATTCCAACCTATTTTGGTACCACCTTGAATCTAAGACTTCTTCTACCTCAAATTCTTGATTATTATCCACATTTATAGGAGGTGGTGGCACTTGTCTTCTTCTTTAGATATTCATTGTCTTATATGGCTTAAAAAGAGACATGTGAAATATAGGATCGATCTTCATAGACTCTAGTAGATATAATTGATAAGCAACAGGATTGACTTATTCACCAATAGAAAAAGACCCAAACCTATGATAGTCCAACTTGTCTTAAAGACGAATAGTCTTGATATTGTGACAAAGTAATCATACCTTATCATCTAAATTAAATTGTGGTTGTTACTTGTGATAGGCATCTGCATTAATTTTTTGTCGTTCTTAAGCTCCCTTTAATTGTGCCTTCATTATTGTATGTAGCTTTGACAAATGATTTGCCAAATCTTCTATCGTATGGTTATCAATTTTGAAAAAATTAAAAGTATTAAGTCTTAGATGATAACTATAGTTGATAAAGAAAGATGTTTGTTGAATGGAAGAATATATCAAATCATTGTATGCAAACTTTGCCAATGGTAAAAGAATTGTCCAATCATCTTCAGTTAGAGGATGAAAAGCTGAAGAGAGCTTTATATCCATCTTTAAAATCTTGAAAAAGGTTCTCTAAAATCTTGATATTAATTGGATCTCTCTATCCAATATAATATCTTTATACAATTCATGATAGTGATAGATGTTGTTAAGTAAAAAGCTTAGCCATTTTTTTCACTTGTGATAGATTTTGTACATAGTACAAAATGTGCCATTGTAATAAAACTATCTACTACCACAAATATAGAATCATATAAACTTAAGACTAGAAGATCTATGATAAAGTCCATAGAAACAAAAGATTATGGTTGCTTTGGAATAGGTAATGGCTGAAGAAGTTTATAAGGTTGACGGTGAAGAGTTTTGGATCTTGAAAAAATATCACGTGATTGTATAAAATCTTTGAGTGACTTTCACATTCAAGGCCACTACAAATTTCTTGATATTAGCTCCAAAGAGTTCTAAAATGTCTGATTGTTGGAAAGTCATGACGAGTTTGAAGAATAAGTAATTGTATTCTATCTTTTGGAATGTATAATTGTCCTTCAAAATAGAATAGGTTGTTCTTGAACTTGAATTTGGAAGTATTATAAAACTTAGAAGAATTATTCTTGATATCATAGACAAAAGAATTAGAGGACATATTTGATTGAATTTGCTTGACAAACGTTGAATCGACAATTAATGCTGATTTTGTTGCTTAAAGGTGAAAATATTTTGGCTTCAAGAAAATCATTCTTTGTTGATGAAAAGATGTATTTCTTTCTTTTGGTACAAGATAAGAATGTCAAAAAATGGCATCCAATAAACCTTGTTGTTTTTCAAGTCAATAAATAATTTTGAAATCAACATACTCCAACGAGCTTGGCACTGATTTAAAACACATGTTGATATGAAATACCTGAGGTTCTTGTGATTTATATACACAGTGACTAGATTCAAGGTGCCTTCTAAATAATGACTCTATTCTTGAAATGAATCTATAATTATAGGGAGCTCTTTATCGTTGATCTCATAATTAATCTTAGCTTTTGAAATTTTTTTTGAATGAAAAGTTACTAGATGGAGTTTGTCATCTGCTCCCATTTGTAATAATACTGCATCCAAGGCAAAGTCTGATGCATCAGTTTCCATAAAAAATGCCTTGGAGAAGTCGACACAATATAAGATTAGTGCAAAAATAAATTCTTTTTTTAAAGCATCAAATGATGCTTTGGCTTCTTTATTCCATTTAAGTTTGTCTTTACAGATTAAACATGTAAGTGGAAGTTTAACTTGAAAAAAAATCTTGATGAAGATCTGATAGTAATTAGCAAAGCACAAAAAATATTGCAAGTTTCTTATTATTCTTAGATTCTTTCAATCCATGATAGTCTAAACCTTCTTCGGATCCAACATTAGACTTTCAT